TGTAATGAAAAATAAAATGACCATTATACTGCCCATAAAAAAAAAATGTCATCAACTCCATCATTTAAAAAGCAATTGTAATTATTCTGACCAGTATAAAAAACATGGGTCATTAAAACCACCATTTTAAAAACACTGGTAAATATTTTGGCCACTTAAAAAATTCTGGTCAATACTCTGGCCATTAAGAAAATAGTGGCCATTATAATGGCCAGAAGTGACTTTTTAAAGGGGTCTGAGGGGTGTAAAAACAGTGTTAAAGTGAAATGAAGAATTATTATAACCTTCTCACTAACCTAAAAGCACAAATAAATATTCAAAAGTTTTGAAAATTAAAACTTTCCGAAACGCGACGGAATTTCCGAAAGTAATCCGGACGCTGTTATAAATATTTGCAATAACGAACGTGTAATCCCCCTTGGACAACTCTAAAAGGATGTATCTACCTTGTAAATCTTTGACATTTCTGCCAATATTCAGATCACTAGATTTGTTTATAAGAACGGCGGTGCCAGCCCTGTGGTTTGAACCATGACATAAAAACAACTCGCCTCCCCAATCAGATTTCTAAACTTTTTCGACACCTTGACTTGAATAAGTTTCCTGTAGTAAAACAATGTGCTTTTTGTTTACGTAAAAATTGAAATATTTCTTTCCGTTTATACTTTTTCCTAATACCTCTAACATTTAAAGACACTATTTTGACCTTTGACATAATACACACACAGAAACAAAAAGATCAATAGCAAAAAAAAACAAAAAAACAAAAAAAAGATTTAGCAAAACAACCATACACGATTGCAGACAAAATACAGTGTTGAATGGGCTTAAGGGCCCCCGAAAAGCATGCATCTGGGAATCTTACTTTAACCAGTTAGTTTTATTTCAATACTGGGTTGTTTTGGTGCCATTTTTTCATAATTGCCTTAAATTCCCATTAATACCATGAAACATTATTGTCAAGCACTATGCAAATTAGGCGTTCAGATACATGCTTAATAGTTAAATATTGTAGAATAAAGATTAATGAAACAATATATATATATACACATACATACACACATAAATAACTCGTTAAATACTCATGATGTATATCAATTCATACAGTTAAGGATACACACGTAGAAATATGACCACTCAGACAAATTTCCATCTTTGATTCACCACTATCTTCTAGATTCAGTTGGCACATGGTTGGTTAGTGTATTGTTTCCCATTGTTATGGTATTTAGACACTTTGTATTATCGTTTGTGTCTCGGGTTTGGTGATCGTGAGAAACTATTGCTAACCTGGCGAGAGTTTCGCCAGAAAAACTGCCTTTTTATTATTGTTGTAGGAATTGATTATGTATTGTGTAAATTTAAAGTTTACTTCGTGATTTAAGAGGTTTGCAGTGCTCTCACCGGGATTCAAACGTCGTGGTGGCGTTTAAATGTTCATGGTAATTTGAGCACATGGGCACCATCCATCATTTTGATTGGTTGATTAGCGACTTGACCTATCTTGTCAATAAACACACCTCGTCAGCATGGATAACGTGGCGGATATCGTATGGCATGGAGCGTTAGCATGTAATCGAAATCATTTGCTTACGATAAAACTAAGTTGAATTTTACTTGCATTTCATAACAATTCAACGAATTTATTTTTGTACGTTAATATAATCACCACTGAGTACTAATCAACAATTGCAACACTTCGAAAACAAGTAAGCTGCCGTACCGTGATCAATTTGCGACTAACAAAAAAATAATACATATTAAATATAGTGAATATTTGTTGTTGTCATGTGAACAGTTTTTTTGATTGACTGTAATTTTCCAACATTTCATGACGCCCATTGTAGAACCAAATTAAGGCCTTTCACTCCTCCTTGACGCCTATCTAAAAGATTAAACGGCATCTTGCTTTTCGCCAGCCACGAAGGTCACACTAGTAAATGAACTTGATCGCAACTGCCGACCATTCCGTGCATTTTTTATCGACGCACGACGGCACGCAAATCGAGAAAAGTATTGTCCTTGCAACAATTTCGCGCAATATGTCACTGTTGTACTGTGACTGATTTTAATAATAATATAATATTTATTCAACATTAAAACAAACTACAGTGAGTTGTTCTTTGGACTGGTCTATTCCAATGTATAATGAACTGTACTGGTCTATTCTTGTGTGAAATCATTTGGACTGGTCTATTCTTGTGTGAAATCATTTGAACTGGTCTATTCCGATGTATAATGAACTGTACTGGTCTATTCTTGTGTGAAATCATTTGAACTGGTCTATTCCGATGTATATTGAACTGTACTGGTCTATTCTTGTGTGAAATCATTTGGACTGGTCTATTCCAATGCATAATCAAATGTACTGATCTATTCTTGTGTGAAATCATTTGGACTGGTCTATTCCAATGTATAATGAACTGTACTGGTCTATTCTTGTGTGAAATCATTTGGACTGGTCTATTCCAATGTATAATGAACTGTACTGGTCTATTCTTGTGTGAAATCATTTGTACTGGTCTATTCCAATGCATAATCAAATGTACAATGAACTGTACTGATCTATTCTTGTGTGAACTCATTTGGACTGGTCTATTCCAATGTATAATGAACTGTACTGGTCTATTCTTGTGTGAAATCATTTGGACTGGTCTATTCCAATGCATAATCAAATGTACTGATCTATTCTTGTGTGAAATCATTTGGACTGGTCTATTCCAATGTATAATGAACTGTACTGGTCTATTCTTGTGTGAAATCATTTGGACTGGTCTATTCCAATGTATAATGAACTGTACTGGTCTATTCTTGTGTGAAATCATTTGTACTGGTCTATTCCAATGCATAATCAAATGTACAATGAACTGTACTGATCTATTCTTGTGTGAACTCATTTGGACTGGTCTATTCCAATGTATAATGAACTGTACTGGTCTATTCTTGTGTGAAATCATTTGGACTGGTCTATTCCAATGTATAATGAACTGTACTGATCTATTCTTGTGTGAACTCATTTGGACTGGTCTATTCCAATATATAATGAACTGTACTGGTCTATTCTTGTGTGAACTCATTTGGACTGGTCTATTCCAATATATAATGAACTGTACTGGTCTATTCTTGTGTGAAATCATTTGTACTGGTCTATTCCAATGTATAATGAACTGTATTGGTCTATTCTTGTGTGAAATCATTTGGACTGGTCTATTCCAATGTATAATGAACTGTATTGGTCTATTCTTTTGTGAACTCATTTCGTATTTACCTTCTACTATACTATAAAAAATAAAAACATCATTTGGAGCTTTTGTAGTGCCATAAATCAGACTGTCTATCCATCCACATATTAAGCTTTCCATAAACATCAATGTAACAAGACTCTGAGGACATTGTGTAAATATAACAAGACAGTTAGATCACAGAACACCATTAAGTAATGATTATTTATTGCTAGGAAACCAATTGAGGAAAGGGAACGCTCAAATTACTTACCAAGAAATGAGAGGATGAAAGAGGAATGTGCCAAACCAGAATATCAGTCACCATGCCAACCAGAGCAGGTAAGCCTGATGACCAGATACCATGACAGCCAAATCAGATAAATAAAATATCCGTAACTATGACAACCAGAGCAGGTAAACCAGAATATCAGTCATCATACAGACCAGACTTAATACAACACTGGGAGTTTAAACAGAAGGTCAGAAAATCAGTTGAACAGATATTAATGTTAGCTTAGAAACACATTTCAAACTGAAACCATATTGCAAACCATCATCTTTTGTTTTAACTCTGTCAGCTCAAGGAGTGTGTGATGAACGAAGATGGAACACTTCGATTTAAAAAATGCAGAAATGAAAAGAAAAGCAGAAAAAAGAGAAAGAAATGTCGGTGTAATAACAGCAGCAGAAAACTTGGCAAAAAGGAAAAAAAGTCACAGCGATTATTTATTAGAGAACATATAAGCCAAGGTAATTCATTACTCATTGGTGTTTGGATCTACTATACCCCATCATTGCATAGCTGCCGTACCTTGGCGTACCGGCCATAGTGCCGCCTCGGCGTAGCTGCCGTAGTACTGCCTCGGCGTAGCGGCCATAGTGCCGCCTCGGCGTAGCGGCCATAGTGGCGCCTCGGCGTAGCGGCCATAGTGCCGCGGCCATAGTGGCGCCTCGGCGTAGCGGCCATAGTGCCGCGGCCATAGTGGTGCCTCGGCCATAGTGGCGCCTCGGCATAGCGGCCCATCATTGCATAGCTGCCGTAGTACCACCTTGGCGTAGCAGCCCATCATTGCATAGCTGCCGTAGTGCCGCCTCGGTGTAGCGGCCGTAGTACCGCCTCGGTGTAGCGGCCGTAGTACCGCCTCGGTGTAGCGGCCGTAGTCCGCCTCGGCGTAGCGGCCGTAGTGCCGCCTCGGCGTAGCGGCCAAGTGCCGCCTCGGCGTAGCGGCCATAGTGCCGCCTCGGCGTAGCGGCCATAGTGCCGCCTCGGCGTAGCGGCCATAGTGCCGCCTCGGCGTAGCGGCCATAGTGCCGCCTCGGCGTAGCGGCCATAGTGCCGCCTCGGCGTAGCGGCCATAGTGCCGCCTCGGCGTAGCGGCCATAGTGCCGCCTCGGCGTAGCGGCCATAGTGCCGCCTCGGCGTAGCGGCCATAGTGCCGCCTCGGCGTAGCGGCCATAGTGCCGCCTCGGCGTAGCGGCCATAGTGCCGCCTCGGCGTAGCGGCCATAGTGCCGCCTCGGCGTAGCGGCCATAGTGCCGCCTCGGCGTAGCGGCCATAGTGCCGCCTCGGCGTAGCGGCCATAGTGCCGCCTCGGCGTAGCGGCCATAGTGCCGCCTCGGCGTAGCGGCCATAGTGCCGCCTCGGCGTAGCGGCCATAGTGCCGCCTCGGCGTAGCGGCCATAGTGCCACTGTTTACCTTTGTGTATGTATCTCAAACATGCCTAAGATCAAATTCAAAATGGACAACTGGTGGCCATTTTGTTTTAACAAATGCTGTTCTAGAGCATTGACATGACCTGTCATGTTCAAACTTTAAATATTACTTAAACTTGAGGACTCAAATGAAATATGTGTTGTAATTACTTGTTTATTTGTTTTTCTGTATATAGATGATTATAAACCTCGATTCATGAGATCTAGAAATGTCCGCGATACAGAGGCAGATTTAGATGATCCATTTTCATTCCAGTTACCTGACAATAAAGCACTGTCTGATGGATCAGTAAGAAATGCTGTTGTCGACCCCAAATGTCAGATTTATCCAAACAGAACAGTAATGTGTGATAATATGGTATGTCGATAGTAAAAGTAACTCTTTCCTCTCAAAGTTAGTTCTATTCAGTGTATTGGGTGGGGTACATGTGTGTAGTAAAGTTAGTTCTATTCAGTGTATTGGGTGAGGTGCATGTGTGTAGTAAAGTTAGATCTATTCAGTGTATTGAGTGAGGTGCATGTGTGTAGTAAAGTTAGTTCTATTCAGTGTATTGGGTGAGGTGGATGTGTGTAGTAAAGTTAGATCTATTCAGTGTATTGAGTGAGGTGCATGTGTGTAGTTAAGTTAGATCTATTCAGCGTATTGAGTGAGGTGCATGT